CTTAGGTTCTTCAGTACACAGTTTCTCTGTTCTGCCAGTTTCTAACGCAGCCTATATTATAATATTAATATAATATAGCAAAGCCGTGTGTTTTTGTAACCACTGGCGCTAAATTTCCGTTTAGAATTTAGATTAGTGAGGGTGTTCGCTTTATATCTGGGGTACCTTTAGCAAAGCTGGGGTGATAATATCAAACCATTCGTTGGTATTGTGATAAAGATGTCAGCTACTACGTCTGGGTTTGGTGTGACGCAGAAGCTATTCCATTATATAGAGCATATTAGAGTTGCGATCGCCTCCCAGTTGATAGAACGATGGGTCCTTTAGTATATATTATTGTACTCGAACTTCGATGCACCTGCTGACAGAGTATAGTCGAACAGCACCACTTTATTATAAGCACCGAAGTTTATCCAGCATCTTGACACTTCCATGGGAAATTCCGAAAGTGAAGACAAAAGCTTGGATGTTACCATTACAGTTTGGCGACGAAAAGTGCTGCCACCAACATAGTGCGCTGGTAGTCGATACGAACTCAAACAACCCAGACGGGGATGTATACTTGTGTAATGCTAATTCGGGAAAAATAAAGACGCCCTAATTAACTTGTCTTTAGTCTAGTAGCCTGCGCTGTTGGGAAAGATGTCCGCCAGAATTTGGAGTTCGGCTTTGCTACTGTGCGGGTGGGGCTGTAGAAAGCTGCTTTGATTTATCGAATCCGTAATATAAATTAGGTCAGTAAAACCGTTACGCATCGGCTAAACCAAATGTAAGACAACAATGGTCTCCTCAGTGAAGGTCGCTCAACCTTTTCGGCCATTGAATCCGTTAGTAGTGGAAGGAACAGAGCTTTGAATATGGTAGGTTGATTCAGGTGTCTGGTCAGCAAATCACGTTTCGGTAACGAGAACCATTTGAGCGTTTGCCAAATCTGTAACAAAGCAAAGCTAGTGACGTTTGTTGGTTAGGCTACAATGTTAACAAAAAGAATGGCAATAGCCTGTGGTTTAGGCAAGCCTAAGACCTGGTGGACAATAGGTATTTCAAAGTTATTTGAGGTTGTGTAGGTACGCATATTGGCAACAGCATGTGGTGGTCATCTGTTTCATTTGCAGACCAGCTAACGAAGTGAATAAGGTGAAAGAGGAAGTGCACAGGATTCTGGTGAATCAGAACTTCTGTTATCTATGACACAGCTGTTGCAAGTGATGTGAAATATTTTGGATCTAGAGGGTGTGATGGGTAGGATGAAATAATGTTCGTGGTATTCGGAAAAGATAATGCTCCCCGTTGGGTATGTTCATGTGCAGCAGGTAAAGCGCTAGTGTTGGAATATTGTGTAGGGCACTTGCCTCGGTAGGATATTTGTAGAGAAGTAGGTGCGAACTCTTGCTGGCGAGTGACATTTTAGTAATTAATTCCTCCGGGACATTTGTATCCGCAATTACGGCCATAGTCAGTTTAAACATTGGCTAGTGCCATGCCCACAAAACGCGCTTTACTTTTTACCCAAGCAGAGGGTAGTGACATTATTTTGGTGGCGTTAACACCACCACGCCACAGAGTTGTTAAGCCGTAGACATCTGTTTACCAACCCTGCGGTGGCCGATGTGACATACCACCAAAATTACGTCATTGCTCTCCGCTTCACACAAAGCATAATAACAATATCCCATATTTGCGAGCACAGTGTTTATCGAACATTATAATGGGTTCAAACGCTTACGAAGGTGGAGAGCACGCATGGGAACAATCCGAACACCCACCCTGCTTTTCCGTAACGGAAGCAATTAAAAAGTTTGCTGCGATTCGGAGCCACCATTCTTGCTGACAACAAAAAATACTCCTAAGCATTATTTTCCTACCGCACTTTGTCAAGCTAATTGAAAACCGTAGTTTATTTAGAATATCCCATGCTACTACTCACTTCTGCTGCAAATGCTCCAATAAAGGCATTGGCTGGTTTTAAGCTAACTTTTTGGGTCTTGCCAAGTGATCAAAGTAGGCCAGTTTTATTTTGTTCCCGTTCAGCTCCGCTCTGATGTACTTGAACTTATTGCGTGAATCGCTCATTGTGTCAACCAGCTCACTCTGGCGACTTTGCATTCCAGGCGGCCTGTTGCCTTTTGGCAACTTCAGGGTTCACTGGTTATTGGAGATTTTGGTGACTGTACATGAGCTTGCGCGTCCACCTGCCATTATAAATGAATGGTATGCCTAAGTTAAACGAGAAAATATACCTAATGAGGGTTTATAGATTGACGGTTTTTGCGTTGACGCTGGCAAGTCCTTCCTACTTGACCGTCTTGACCGTCCTTATTCCCGTCATTGCTGGTCAAGCGTGCTGCTACCGCGGGTGGTAGTTAAGTCTCCGTTTGCCAAATGCGGGGCTTGTCTGTACGCAAAAGTTGGTCGTAAGCTGTGGGTAAGGGCTATGGGCGCAAGCAGTGTGTAACGCTACAAAGCGTTTGGAGGCTTAAGCCACGCATATACCGCCAAATATTTAACAAAACCAAGTCCGGATCCGAGATAACGGTGCTATTTATACAAATTCATCGTAGCATTATAAAAACTACCTTTAAAAATTACGAAATCATACGTAGGTCAACAATTCGCACTTAGCTTTACAAAGCTCCATGAGTTCACACATATGCAAGCACACAATGGTAGCAAGTTGAGACACATGGGATTATCGTAGATTATAAATGTGCTAATGGTAAAATTTATAATTCCTCTGATTAAACGTGCTACGGCGAGGTCTGGTAAACCTAGCTGTACAAGCTGGGAAGGTCACACAAAGCTAGCAAATCAAGGGAAACCGTGCTAGGTCGATTAGGTTGAACAGAAGGCTACATGCGCCTAAGAATGAAAACAATGCAGGACGTTGGTTAACTTGGAATCGTGCAATACGTCACACAGTTACGGCTTCGTGGTAGGTAGCGTTGGAACAAAAAATGGACCTAAGAATATGCCCACGAACCAGCCATGCCGAGCTCTGTGGCTGCCCAAGCTAGATGTATGTAGTTGACAGTGGAAGTCTTGGAGGTTCGCAAATTCGTACTACACGGTAGCCACAGTTAGTTTGCGCACTCGCATACAGTCGTTGGGCCTAAACAAGGGCAAATACACAGTGGCAGTTTATGTGAACCTGATGGCTAAAGTAATGAGCTGTAGTTACCGTACACAATGTCAGGATTTGAAGGTTTGCTGGCAAAATGACGAGCGACGCGTGCTACTGGACGACGATAACATGTCATATATGCACACAAAAAAAAGTTGGTATCGTGGAGAATATGCAAAGCAGCCGCCACAGATGCAGTATGGGAGTAATCAGTGACGGCTGAGGTTAAACATTTTGCATTCGTGGTATTTATAAGAACTATATATTATGACACCCTATATTTAGCGCGAATTTGTTGTTGGTCCATTTATTACGTATGCTAATCTAGCGAAGAGGTATCTGAATATCCTTATACCTTAACCGATGTATATTATTTTTTTATCGTCCTTCCAAGTGATTGGCTGTTGCTTTTACCTCCCGGGTGTGCTTATGCTTGATGCGTGTGTTTACAAGGTATCTACCTGTCTATTACCCGCTACCTTTTCTTTACTGGCGCCAGGAGACAGCTAGTCGTTGCTTGAGGGAATGTGCTGCGCGGTCCGTGTGACCGTGTTTAGCTCGGGGAGGAGTTCTATGCATGGAAATAACCAATATAAACTTTTATTCCCGACAATGCAGGGCATAATTTTACACGCATTATCACGTAAATCTAACAGTTGTGATCAAACATGTACAAAC